TAACAAGTTTCTCCTTCTGAACCAGCATTTGGCGGAAGTAATAGCAGTGGCTCAGACCGTAATCCAGTTTAAAGGAGGAGTACATGACATATACCAGCTCCAAACATTTCTTAAAGTAAGGACAAACACAAAATAGGAGCCACAGGCTAAGTAACAAAATAAATGAGTTTGGGATTCTTTTCAGCTCCCCCAGGGTAAATTGTTACTCTTTTTTTTGGAGAAAGGAAGCGAAGCATTTGGCCTTCCTCAAGTATAGCCCCTTGGTTTTCGACAGCCATACTCTTATTATCATCTGTCCTGAATCAGACCGTTTGGTGTCTTTTTCCTCTGTAAGGCCTTCTCAGAAAACATTTAGAGATTAAAAAAAATACTGCCAAATAAGGGGAAAAAAGCATTTAATTTTAACAGGACTTATTTTCTCCTTCCACACTTTTATAAATTGTTTTTTTACTATTCTCACACCGTCCAAACAGAAGCTATCCTGGCCTCCAGGGATGAGTCAGAGAGCTAGAATTCATGGCGAGACCAGCTTGAGTCAACAGAGTGAGCACCTATCCTACTGTGACTCTTTGTCCTCAGAGGCTCTTGAGCTAATCACATAAAAAGGGCTCAGTAAAACAGCACCTACCGTTCATCAATACTTGATCTGACTGTTCACATGGGACAGGTCAGCCACAACTGAGCCGACAAGGAGGTCAGCCAATTTCTAACAAAGGCGAGGAGTCAGATTTATGAATATTTGGAGCAGGTCAGCATATACTTACTTTTCTGACTCCCTCTGACAGCTCTCACACAGGGAGGGGCCAGGCCCTCTGGGTTGTGGGATGGAGCTAGAGCTGGCATTCCCACCCAGGGCTTCCCCCCCGACACAGAGCACAGAGTCCGGAGAGCTTATGGTTATTCAAGTACAGCTGGGGAAGGACTCCCGGGGTGTCCGGTTCCTGGCACTGACATATGTGCCATTATGTTGACATACCATGCAGCCCTCATAGAGCAGGTGCATGAAGCAATCTTTTCATTTCATCCTACCAACCTTAGCAAGTTAAAGTGTAACTATGGAGGCAGCAGGAAGCCATATGTGCCTATTATAGCCATGGTCATGGGCTTTCAAGAGCATCATGTTCTTTCCCAGCCTTAATGGCAGACAGGGAATTTCTTTAGAGTTAAGTCAAATCTATTGTCTACTCTGATCCTTGACACCAGGGCATCAGGTTCTCCTCCCCATAAAGATGGCATCTGGAGTGAACTGAAAACACATGCTCCAACTCTAGAGCCCAGGGGTTTCTTTCATTCTTTCCACTCACTTATAAATAAAAGGGTGCTAATTATTATAAACACCACAAAGTTTCTGCACCCAAGTTCTTATTTTTACTAACCAGGAAAAGAAGTCAACTACTTTAAAGACTCAATGGACAAGGTAAGTCTTCAAAAAGAAGATGCCATGAGCAATCTTCAGTTTATATTAGAGCCACTTATCTTATTTCAACCCTGCTGTTTTTCACTCCTTGATGATACTGATCATCAACTCAGTAAATGCTTTCACTCAACATAGCCTTGAGCCCAACAGGAAGATCCAGGGAGAGCCCAGGTTCACCTACTAATAAGACACGTTTTAGTAATGTGGCACCTTGGACTGGAATCCCAGGTCTGCCTCTCAAACAGCTATGTAATATTGAGCAAGTTCCTAAGTCCCTTGGAGCTTTTGTTTTCCTGTCAAAAAAATGAGATGATCCATGTGAAGTCCATGGAAACACACCTGGCACATAGGAAGAGTTAAAATCTAACTTTGGTATACCTGATCTCATCACTGTATCAATTATACCCTTCAAGTATACCCTTGAGCAGACTCAAGCACGCCTGTCTTTAAAAATAAACGAATCTATATTCTCAAGTCAAACACAAATGTCTAGGATTATGAATAAGCTCTGCTTTAAGATATCCATTTAAGTACAGTCCCAATTCTTGTCAAAGCCATCTGTGATGATTCCATCCACTGCTCCTCCAAGGAAAGCCCTGCAAATGACTGAACCCACCTCTCATTGTCTATCACCCATATCTCCGGACCACACGTCTCTTAACGCATTCTGCCCTCAGCACTTAAACTGTTCACTGTCCTTCCTGTCTTTCCAAATCTATCCCTTGAAAAGCCCTTTCCATCAACTCAATCTCTTCTTCCTCTCTGCCCTAACTCTAATTCACAGCCATACACACAAACTGCACATTTTGACTGTGTTCTTGTCTCTCCAGACTTTTTGACTGAATTGTTCTCTAATTGCTGCATCCATGTTTCATCTCCCCTACCGTACTGTAAGCTGCTTGCTGATAGGGGCAACTTCTTTTATTTTTCAAGTCTCCCACTGATCAATGTACACTGACCTAAACAGTGCACAGAGTGTTAATAAATACTTAGTGATGTTTGTCTACACCCTAACCCTATTCCTAAGGAGCTTTAAGAGGTGGAGCTGACTCAACTTTAACAAGAAATGCTTTCAGAGAAATTGCCAGATGCTCACATAAGTGCATTCTGAATACGAGTCTGCTTAAATTAAGAAACAAGAAGGGGTGCCTGGGTGGTGCAGCTGGTTAAGCAAGCATCTCACTCTTGATTTCGGCTCAGGTCATGATCTCACGGTCTTGATCTCAGGGTCATGAGATGGAGCGCTGCACTGGGCTCCTCACTCAGCGAGGAGTCGACTTGTTCTCCTTCCTCCTCTGCTCCTCCCCCCACCTCTAAAAATAAATAAATAAAATATTTAAAAAAAAAAAAAAGCAAAGAAAGAAACAAGGGAGGCTCCAGTTTCTCTTTGGGACCTAAGTGCCTCATTTTCAATGCATTATAGCCAATAGTCTCCTTGAATATCATCTATCTCCAATAAGAACCTCTTCTCTGTTTTTTTTTTTTTTAAGATTTTATTTATTTATTTGACAGAGAGAGACACAGAGAGAGAGGGAAGGAACACAAGCAGGGGGAGTGGGAGAGGGAGAAGCAGGCTTCCCGCCAAGCAGGGAGCCCGATGCGGGGCTCAATCCCAGGACCCTGGGATCATGACCTGAGCCGAAGGCAGATACTTAATGACTGAGCCACCCAGGCGCCCCTCCTCTGTGGTTCTTGCAAATACTACTTCTAAATGATTCTACAGAGTTCATAAAAAAAAAAAAAACCCAACTAGGTAACATACCATGAATTCATCAACCTCAAAAAATCTCAATAGCCTCTAGCCTCACCATAGCACAGTCCTTAAAAAAAAAAAAAAAAAAAAAAGGTAGGACCTCAACTAAGGCTGGTATGTAATCCTTTCTGACTCTCTGCCAACCCCACCCCAGCTCTCACTCCCAAGGCCAGGGCAATCATCACAGAATTGGTGAGAAGGCATCAGTCCCTAAAGGAACTGCAAACAACTAAGAGGTTCACAACTTAGGAAGATGAGTGCAGTGCCCTGGCCAAGAATGCCAGCCATCTCCTAAGACCACAATGACTACTGAGCCAGGCACCTCACAGTTGGGAGAGGGGGCTTCCATTATACAAAGCACTGGAGCAACTGGTTTTGCCTCCTGCAACTCGCATCTTCCCATTAAACTCAACTGCAAATTCCAGTTCTAACAGAACATGCTTACCCTAGGGCTTGGCTCACTTACCACCTAGAACAGTCCTACTCTGGATGGTTAAATTTAAGGAGGAGAAATCTGGAGAAACAGGAGCTTCGAGGAAAAGCCTTTTATTGTAGTGTAAAGTCTTAACTCAAATACAGGCAATTTACTGTCTTGCCGATTAACTTCTCTTATATCCTGTACAACTAACGTGACTCCACAGAATCCTTTATAACAACCATCCAAACAACCAAAAAAAAATCAATCCTTTGTTACACCACTAGTGAATGAAGTCTCTCTTACTAGACTGTGTGGAGAAATAGGATTCACATCATCAGGTTTCTTTTCTTAATTTGTCTCTTGATCTGGACCATATATAAAGCACTAGTCAGAAAAAATACCATTCTTACAACAGACAAGCAATTTGTCCCTCAAATAAACATCAGTTTTATTTTTCAAAATTTGAGGGTAAATGCCAACATGACCCAATGGCTGACTTAATGGTTTTAGGATTGTACAGGGGGGATGCTAGGCCTAATACACAGCATTATTCATCAGAGGAGAATGCAGAGGAATGCTCACAGGCCCACGCCACATGAAACACCTAGAACAGTGAGCTCTCAGCATCAGGGCTTTACTCAACCAACCCAAACCAACAACCAAGAACCATCATCACCTTAGCAGACTGTGGAAGACACTGTTTAACCAGCTAGCAAGGAGAGAAGCAGGTCAAGAAATGAAACACCCAGAAGAATGTCTCAGAACAATCAGAATATTTAAAATCATGGTGAACTCAACAAACAATTCTCTCACTTACTGCCCCACACATAAAAAGTCAAAATATCACTTGGGCCACTCTGGGTTGTGGGTGAGGAGGCAGATGGGCCATAAGAAACTGAAAATACATCTACAAGAAGACATGCAAACAAGCTAAGTAAAGCAAAAGCCCAACAACAATATTTAGGATAAATAATAGACTTTTTTTCCTTGGGAAAAAAAAAAAAAAAGCCCCACCCAAAGCCAAAACAAGAACAAAAACAACAAAGTAGGAAGAGATTCCAAAAGCATGTTGTTGTTCTAGGTTTAGTATACATTTACACTGGAAGGAGAGCTGGTGATATTTTTACTTTCTTTTTTTTTTTAAATGCTAAAGGTAAATAACTTTGTTCTTTCAACACCCAAACCAGAGCAGAGAGACAGTAGTAAATTATAAATGTGGATAAAGTAACATCCACAGGACATGAAGATTGGGGGGGAGGGGAGAAGGGGTAGGTTTTTGTATTGTTGCTGTTGGCAGGAGAGCTAAGCAGTCTTAAAGAACATTCTAGGCTTCTAGGTTTGCCATGAAAGGGTATCACAAAAGTCCCAAGGCCCACCACCTACCCCTTCTCCTCTTCTCCGAGGGCACCTACCTTACTGTAAGTCACTACTGATAAGTTGTTTGCGTGACTGCTGGGGGACAGATTTACAGAGTTCTGTGAGAGTCTATTCTCATCTTGCTCGGTTTGGTCAGGAGCAGGAGCCCATGTGTTTTTGCTGATCGAGTCGAACCCGGAACCCCCAGGGTCTTTTAAGTTGTTTTCATCTGATTGTCGGTTCTTTTGGGGAGAGGCAAACGGGTTGAAGTTTCCTTCTACCTTGCGATGTGGCTGTGTGTTGAACTCCGTTTCAAAAGATGACAGCTGCTGTGTTACTCCTAAAAGTCCACCCACCTCCACACTGAGAATCACCCAGATGACATCTGAAACAAAAAGGCAACTCATGTCAATGACAGGCATACCCTCAAGGTCCAAAGCAGCCACCACCAGAAACCCCAAATGTCACCCAAACCATAGGAAGAAATGTCCTTTTATATGCGAATTTTAAAAGCAAGCTGACAAAGTAGCCCAGTACCTTTGCACTGTATGCATTTCTACATTGTTGGTAATGTCACATTCAAACTCCAGTGCACATTCAGTACAGGTCTATGGTAAGACTCATGAAAGTATTTGTTAAAAGGTTACTAGTTGATTCTGATGCACAGCCATATTTGGAAATCACTGCTCCAGAGAACAATGATCTATAGATAGAAACCTAAAAACTGTTTTCCCGGAATTATAAGCTTTTTGTGGTTTTTGCTTTAGCTTGAATGTATGTAACTTAGAAAACTCAGGGCAGGCATAATTCTTGAGCCAAAAAATACTTATAATTCCTAGAATTGCAACTTATCAAGGACCCCCTTCCCCCCATCTCTTTGAGCAATTTAGAGTAACAACATATTATCCAAACTAGGATAACTGAGAGTAAAGGGGGAAACAATTAATAATGACACCAGGACACATGTGAAAACCAGCACTAACCCTGACTATTAAGGCAAGTATCACCTGGATTTTCTTTTCTAATGATCTATGTGATCAAAGGATACCAAAAATTTAGTATGTCCCAGGCTTTCTGAAATAATCCAATTTAACACCACTTTGCCTTTGTCATACAGGGAAACCCCACCATCTACACTGAAACCATAATAGATTTGTTTTAAAAAGGTACACCGCAGGACTTTTGGTCATAATTCAGTTATTTCCTCAACTGCCGAAGCTAAGGGTTCAAACAGAAGAATAAAGAGACAGTTTCCTTTGATGTTCTGCACCTCAATTTAGAGAACAGTGACATCAACTTTCCTGCTGGAAATCTTTTAAAAAGCACCACTACAGAAAGGCCAAGAAGCTTTTAAGTGTAACCCAGCTGAAACAAATATGAAAAGTTGTCCAAGCCTCCTAAATAACTGCTGAATGGTTGATAAGAAAAGGCTAATAAATTTCATCAGTTACCTACACAGAAATACAGATAATATTAAGAATAGGAAAAAAAACCAAAAAACCACCAACACTAAAAAGAATAGTGAAAGAAACTGAGGAAAACCCTCTTGGGCCGTGCTTAGTCTCAGTTTTCAATCTGGGTTCGATATCTGATGAAGGCCATAAATACTCTATTTGTGTTCAGTGGTTTGGGAACTCCATTAACAACTTGGTGGCCTGTGAACAGCTAGGAGCCAGAACCCTAGTAAAGTGGAGATGCAGTGACATCTGCTGTTCACTTCTGGAATTAGCAACTCTGCAGCCTCTAGCTGCGCAAGCATGACTCCTAGGAATGGTAATCCATTCCAGACACAACTTTTCACGACGGCAAATGTGAATCCTCATGTGAACTAGTGCCATAGTAGCTCAACCTGTTAACACTGTAAGCCAGGATGTGCAGCACGCCACTTCACTCGGAAATGTGGGACGGTGCCAGGAATACTGGGTCAGAGGACTTTCATTCAAAGCTCTAAGTCAATCTCATAAACCAACATGACGTCGGCCTTAAAGAACCATTGCAGGCAGCTGAGGGAGATTCATTCCATGCTTTTCTAGCCTAGCTTTCTAACCAAAGGCAACATCTCTTCACTCTATTGTTCATTTTCCCCCAACAGATATGCCCTACCTTACAGGATATTAGTTCTTACTTCTTCTCTTTCACCCATCTATTTGCCAAAGTCCTTTTGTAATTCCTGATATGTTTCACATACTCAGTTACAGGTCATATGCTTCCTTCACTTTGCTCAGGAAACTAAATGCTTACGAGAAGAGAAAGGACAGTCTTCAGAAGACTGTTATCAGTATATGAGACTAAAGACATTTTCTGCCCTGGCTTTAAGAACTAAAGCTTCTTTCATACAATTCATTGGGCCTTATCACACGTAAGCAACTGCACTCTCTCACCTTGGCTGTTCTTCTGTACTGCTCACAGATTTTACATAGTAGCTCTAAAGAGGTCATTTAAGAAACCACTGATTTATAAACACCAACAGTGAACACTCCAGTTCTGATCCTCCCAAGTTATTACCATGATGGGTCATTATGAATAGCAAAATATACCCTCTATGGGGTACAATCTAACCCATCTAGGTACTACTGCTAGCCCTCATGTTTCAGAATGTGTTCATCCCATGCATAGTGTGCATGAATGAGTGTGTTAAGTAAAAAGGGTGATAAAAATGGACCAAATAAGCTTGTTTCAAAGAGGCTGACCATTTCCAATTCTTCCCAGAATGCCTTAATTACTGAGATAGGAACTGCCAGCCACATATTTTACTATTTGTGATGATAAAATCATAGCTGTAAGGAATCTTACGGGTCATCTAATGGAATGGCTGCACTTTCTAGATAAAGGATCTGAGGTCTGGAAGTAGAAGTGACAGGCCCAAGATCAGACTTCGAGTTAAAGGCAACTTACATGATGACTGAGAATGCTCAACTCTCAGAATAGCTTTTACAAGGCTGCGTGGGTGGCTCAGTTAAGCGTCTGCCTTCGGCTCAGGTCATGATCCTATGACCCTGAGATCGAGCCCAGCATCAGGCTCCCTGCTCAGCGGGAAGCCTGCTTCTCCCTCTTCCACTCCCCCTGCTTGTGTTCCCTCTCTTGCTGTGTTCCTCTCTGTCAAGTAAATAAATAAAATCTTAAAAAAAAAAAAAAAAAAGAATAGCTTTTACAACTCATACTTATTTTTCCTCAACAGGAACTTGGGAACCAAGAACCTAGGGAACTACAGCTATAGTTAAGTCAGTCCCATTTCCCAGGCCATAGTATCTTTACCCACAAACATATAAGATCTTCGGTGCCAATAATAAGAATGGGCCAACAGGATGTCCTAGAAAAGTAGCCAATAAAGCAGAATCAAGTGCCAAGCCTACACATTCAGGGCTTAGTAAGCAAATTGAGAAACTGATTTTAGAATGTCTTGCCTTAAGATGTTTTTTAAAAAGCACTGAGCCAGGACTTTGGAACTAAATGGTACTGTAAATAGTTTCATTCAACTCGTCCGTTTTACATATAAAACCTTTAATAAGTACATAACTTTAATAATAAATATAAACTTCCTTTTGTAGAAATGTATAATAAATTACTAAAGAGAGAACATGAACTTTTTATTTCTTAAGTTTAGATTATCAGAAATGCAGAGTAAAAGGAAAATATTTTGGGGCTCTTGGGTGGCTCAGTCAGTTGGGCATCCAACTTTGATCTCAGCTCAGGTCCTAATCTCGGGGTCATGAGTTCAAGCTCCCCATTTAAAAAAAAAAAGAAAAGAAAAGAAAATATTTTACTTGAAGCCCAACTCCATAATCTTAATGAACTATGCTGATGTACAAAGACATCTCAGATTATGGTAGGAATGTTAAAAAACACTGCATATATCCAAAGGCTAGAATCACAGATCAAATCACATGATAATAAACATGAACAAACATCCATGATTTGTCCACTACAACAGAATTGCTAAAAATCAGTACAATATTCAACTGGTAAATTTGTTTCTTGAGGGGTTATGGGTTATAACCCATGCACAACATGGGTACATGTATATTGGGGTTGAATAAGTAAATGAACAGTGAAATGCTGAGCGCAAGGTTTCTCATTGTTAAAGAAGGATATCACAGATGAGCAAGAAAGGAAGGCATTCTAAAATGAACTCTGTGGTACTGGATTAACGTCAGAGACATCAGTATCAACTCATGTTTATCTTAATATATATACAGATGAAGAAACACAGAAACAATGATAGATATGTCTGTTTACAGAGGTTAGTATGCATACACACGTTACCCAGCTCTGTCTGAGAAGGCCTAAAGTAATGACAGCCCAGTAGCACCGAACATATCCAGTGCCCAGTGGTTTCTGAATAGCATTCTCTAAAAAAAAAAAAAAAGTTCCTCAGAGAAATGGCTGATTCTGGGGCTAAGACATGGAAAATATAAGATGAGCCTGGAATATCTTTGTAGTATCTGAAACTAAGAAAGTGTTTAAAAAAAAAAAAAAAGGATAGAGTATGTCATAGGGATAGGAGATACCTGAAAGAGCTCCTTCTGGCCAAAGCCGGAATAATTTGGGCACTAAAATAAATAACCTAGTATTAGATTATAACTCAAAAGTATAAAATAGATACACATGAGTCCATAGTGACATAAATAAATGACTAAATAAATGGGCGAGCAGAGGGGCGTCTGGGTGGCTCAGTTGGTTAAGTGACTGCCTTCGGCTCAGGTCATGATCCCGGAGTCCTGGGATTGAGCCCCGCATTGGGCTCCCGGCTCAGCGGGGAGCCTGCTTCTCCCTCTGACCCTCTCCCCTCTCATGCTGTTTCTCTCTTGCTCGCTCTCTAATAAAGAAATAAATAAAATCTTAAAAAATAAATAAATGGGCGAGTAGAGACAAATTTCTTTACATAAGAACTGCAAATATATGTAGATATTCTCCCCTTCTAAGAGATGGAGCTTAATTCTATATATCCCCCAACCTATCCTGAGTGTGAGACAGACTTAGTGATTTGCTTCCAAAGAACAGAGCAGGGAAAGAGAATAATAGTAACTTTATAACAGAGAAACTGGCAACCAAAAATTTAATCAAGTGACCAATGTTAATATCATCAGTGATGTTATGTAAATATCAAGTACCCCCTGGTAAGGTACTTCACCTCTGCAGTATTCTTCCCCAAATCTATAAACATCAGTCTAAATTGAGGAAAACATCGGAAAAGCTCAAACTGGGGTACATTATAAAGGATACCCGCCAGTATTCCTCCAAATGGTCATGGATCATGAGAAACAGAAAAGATTGAGAAACTGTCACAGATCAGAGGAGACTGAAAGACAAGACAACTACATGTAATGTGGTGCCAGAGACTGGATTCCGGAAACAGAAAGAGGTCATGAATGGAACTGATAAAAT